AAAAATTATGCTCATTATAAACGTTCCGGGTTGCAATTACACTACTGAAAGATATTTCATATATTTAAGATACTAAGTTGTTTGTTTTCCAGTTTTTGTTAAAGCCAAGTTAGCCCGGAACCAAAAATTATGCTCATAATACACGTTCCGGGTTGCAATTACTGAAAGATATTTCAAATATTTTAGCTACTTAGTTACTAGTATTTGTTTTCCAGTTTTTGACGAAGCTAAGTTAGCCCGGAACCAAGAACCATGGTAATGATTAACGTTTCGGGTGTAATTACTGAAAGATATTTCATATATTTTAGCTACTTAGTTGTTTGTTTTCCAGTATCTGACGAAGCTAAGTTAGCCCGGAACCAAAAATTATGTTTATAATAAACGTTCCGGGTTGCATTTACTGAAAGATATTTCATATATTTTAGCTACTAAGTTGTTTGTTTTCCAGTTTTTGACAAAGCCAAGTTAGCCCGGAACCAAAAATTATGCTCATAATAAACGTTCCGGGTTGCAATTACACTACTGAAAGATATTTCATATATTTAAGCTACTTAGTTGTTTGTTTTCCAGTTTTTGACGAAGCTAAGATAGCCCGGAACCAAAAATTATGTTCATAATAAACGTTCCGGGTTGCAATTACTGAAAGACATTTCATATATTTTAGCTACTACGTTGTTTGTTTTCCAGTTTTTGACGAAGCTAAGTTAGCCCGGAACCAAAAATTATGCTCATAATAAACGTTCCGGGTTGCAATTACTGAAAGATATTTCATATATTTTAGCTACTTAGTTGTTTGTTTTCCAGTTTTTGACGAAGCTAAGTTAGCCCGGAACCAAAAATTATTATTGTCATAATAAACGTTCCGGGTTGCAATTACTGAAAGATATTTCATATATTTTAGCTATTAAGTTGTTTGTTTTCCATTTTTTGACAAAGCCAAGTTAGCCCGGAACCAAGAACCATGGTCATGATTAACGTTTCGGGTGTAATTACTGAAAGATATTTCATATATTTTTGCCAAAAACTATGCTCATAATAAACGTTCCGGGTTGCAATTACTGAACTACCTATTTCAAGTTACCATCATGTGTAGATGTAGAAGGGGCGGGGGTGTTAGCTCCCCTTAGTTATCTAAAGAATTTAGTTAAAACAATCGAATTAAATTTTGATCCACTCGCATACTCGCTACCTTTAGTGTAGCTACTAGCGAGTATGCGAGCAAATCTAGGCTAGCATCTAAAACCATATTCGAATACATGTTTTGTATAATCATATATGTGACCCCCCTCCCCTCCAAAAAAAATCAGGTTTGGAGACGATTAAAGTTTTTATTTTCCTTATTTATTAAGAACATTTCTGAGTTAGTACTTCTTTATTGGGTGTATCCCTATTCCTTTTTTTTAGAAGCATGTTTGAATTTAAGACTGATATGTTTAAGTATTTTTTTAAAAATTCATTTTAATTGATTTCTATTGCATACATATATCTTTAGCAGATTAGTCCATTTTTATCCAAGTTTTGTGTAAAAAAAAGAGAGTAATATAATAGAGTTATTTGTGTACAATCTAGTTTACATTTAGCAGAAACAGAAAAACGGAGCTACATGACAATATGCAAGTAACTTTTCTTTTCAGAGTTGTTTGTATTATTGGATAAGTATTTTAGAAAAGATATAAGGCATACATGTAACATCTTTTCTTGTTCTTTGTCCAAGTTGATCAACTCTCTCTCTCTCTCTCTCTCTCTCTCTCTCTCTCTCTCTCTCTCTCTCTCTCTCTCTCTCTTCCACGAAGAGGAAGTCACCTCTATAAACTTTCTTTAACTTTTTGAATATGTGTTGTTTCTCTGCTGTTTTTATTATTTACATCGGCTTAAACCAATAAATGCAGCAGATTGGTTTAGATCTTTTGAATGTATCCCCCCCATCCCTCCGTTTTTGTCCCAATAAAAAACAATCAATTGTATATTTATATCTACTTTGAAAGGACTTGAATAAATCTTTTACAATGTTTTAATCTTTAAATGCATACATGTCAATGAGCGCATTCTTATTAACTGTTCTCTCCATTTCTATTTGTACAGGTATATACATATATTCACACGGTATGATGTTCATAAATGGATTTAGTTCATTTAAGAAATCATTAATTTACAGTAAATAGTTGATTTATTTAAGCGAAAAACATTCTTAATTGTTTTCCTGACACCAGCGTTTCTTAAAATCACCTAAGATATGACATGTCCGTAGTCATCTTAAAGTTAGGACTAAGATTAGGAGGTCTCCTAAGAAAGGATAGCTTCGATGGCCTCACGTAAGACTAAGATATGTCCCATCGAGTTCTAGAGCGGAAATACACGTTTTATCAGAATTAAAGAGAAACGTTTTCTTCTTTTCCAAATAATTACCAAATAATTATAGTTTTTGAAAGTTCGTACAAAAAAAATATTATATCTATAGGAAAAGTCATTCAAAGATGTCTTTTGAAAAATCAGGTAGGTGATGGAACAAACGTTCGCGGTTGCCTTCCCCACTAAGACTCCTTTGTTTGTTGAACACATTCAACAAATTGTTAATTAAAATATAGAAAATTTCATACCAAGCAAATCAAGTTTTTTGTCTATTGTTCACTGCAGGGGAAGGGGGGATGAGCAGACTTCGCAATGCTATACATATAAATAGTAAAATACAGATCTGTGTCTGTAATACATTTCTTCTTCAGTGTTATTTTTACAAATGAATACAAATTTATTTGTACTTACGTGCATAAATAAAAATGAGTTGAATTTTATTCAGAAGTTTTTAGCCGTGTCATTGAAGCATTTCCAAGCTGATTATGTGCATGTTTTGTTGACATGTAACATTAAAATTAAAAAAAAAAAAACTTCACCTGACGAAGAAAAATAATCAACAAACACTTTTCCTTCGTATTAAATGCTTAAATTATAAATTCCATTTTTATATCCGGCATGCACTCGTTTCCCATTATGTTCTTGTATTTTAATTTATTAATATATTTGGTTTTAAAAAACGCAACTACATGTATGGGTGTTTAAAAAATTGTAAGGAAATTAAAATATTACCTAATAATTAAAGATTTTATCGTAAATATAATTAATCTATCATGGTGGTCATATGTGTTTACGGCGATTCGCAAGACTGAGCAATTATTCGTATCGATAGAAGCCAAGTCTATCGTAAAACAGCACGATGGGGGTATATCAGTGTAAACAAGTTTCACACCTTCTTTTGTTTACAAAGAATCAAAATAATCAACTGGAATTTCATGGATTAATATAATATTTAAATCAGAAACATCAATAAATATATAATGTCTCTGGTAAAAAGACCGCATATTCTGACTTGAAATGTAAACATATATGTATGTCTTACGATTAAGTCCTGCTGTATCATATACGAAGGTATAAAAGAAAGAAGAAAATTAAAATTATTAACAGCCAATATTAAATATAAATAGAGAGTTTAATAGGGTGCTTGGTTGCCCGGAACGTTTTTTACGGCCGGAACCAATCTTACGCGGACCGGAACGTTTATTATGGCCCGGAACCAATATTATGGGTATTTAGCGTTCCGGCCGGAACGCCAAGTTACCCGGAACGTATATTATGCGACACCGCCACATACACAACACACCAAAAATCAGCTTAACGTCTGTAAGCGTTTAAACAAATGGAGGAAAACCAAGTGGGACAGACTGATGGACAGAGGGACAGACTCGGAGGAAACCTATTGTCCCCTACGATTTTAGCGGTAGGGGACAAAATTATCGTCAAGTGAAGACGAAAGGTAAGTTTGAATATTGTTTTTGCGTTTATTTGTCAGTGTTCGTCTTAGAAATTTACAACGTCAATGAAAAAATAAACATTCTGTTTAAATATTTACTATACAAGACAATAACACTTTTTTCGAAAGTTTATTCTCGAATTTTGCGTAAGAGAGTCAAAGCACTAACAAGATTTTAATGCCACTATTTATCAGGGGCTGTGAAGCGAATCGGTTAAAGTATAAGAATCGAAAGAATACGATACTTATAATATCTATTGCAATGATTCGAACCACGTGAATCTTAATTACTTTTGAAGACAGAATATTCTTATCTTGAGAATTTTTGTTATACATGTAATTTCATAAATTCCAATAATGAGAAAATTACTCTAAATATATTAACTGGTACTTATTCTCAAAGTGAATATGATTTTTTTTTTAATCTCAAGCTATATGCATTCTGCACTTCTTGTTTACGTATTTCCTTTGAGAATGACACACAATACAATCAGACGTATGTTTTATGTTGTCGGCCTTCTGCAGGAGTAAGAATGGCTCATGCAGGCACATTGCTGATGGAAATAAATACTGATGGACATAATAATGAGCAAAGAAAGTAGATGTGTTTTGTCGCAGAGATAATGTACCTTTGCGTACAAGAGGACAATATGTATGGCAAATTTCGATAAATTATCTTTTTTTGCATGTAAAATGAACAAAATAATTTGGCTGGAAAAGGCATAGTACCGAATACGCAAGATCTGCACCAAAAACCTAAATTTTATGCATGAAGATTTCTGTTCAAGATATAAAATTGAAATCAAACATGTGTGAACATATGAATTTTTTTTTATACCCCCCGCTTGAAAAGCGGGAGGGTATATAGTAATCGTTAATTCTGTCCGTCCGTCTGTTACGCTTTGGGGTACCCATCTCTTATCCGCAACTTCTCTCATACCACTGAATGAAATTTGATGCAACTTTCACAGAATCTTTATCACATATTGCCATTGTGCACCTCCTATTTTACTTTTTGATCCGACACATATTTTGGGTTTCCCGGCCACAGGAAAACATGGACTTTTTCACCAGTTATAACCATATGGGTGGCGGGGGGTATCATTTAGTGAGCTCATCGCTCACAGTACCTCTAGTTATCTTTTTTTTAAAATTGCATTAAGGGGTTTTGAAGAAAAAAAAATCAAATTATAAATACCTTTCAGCATTAGGCGGGCTTTGGTCATGTTTCAGCATTATGTACCTTGAGACGTCGGGCATACTTCTAAGGACTGTCATATTATGAAATATTAACCTATTTAAAACAAAAGGTGAATAAATTGTTAAATATATGTACTTAAGTCCTTTGAAACATTATTATAACTATATAGCTGTATACCTAGTACATATCTTTCCTTATAAATGTTTTAAATCAAATATATTAATTACTTAGTGTTAAAGTAGATTTCAATGTCGAGGTTTCATATATTAATTGATGTTGTCGTTTATTAAATTTTCATTCGTAAGTTGAAACTGACTAAATATCAAAAATTAGCATTCCCAACATTAGATTGAAAATTAATAACACTTTAATTTTTGCTCAATGGAGAATAATTTAAGTTGTTTTTTTCAATATTTCTGTTTGTCTATGAAATATAACATTTGTTTAAATATTTCAAAAGCGTTCATTTATTTCAATGTAAAATTTTACACGCCTACATGACAATATCAATACATCAATTTATGATATATCTATATTAACCTATTATATAAGTCATCGTCTTCCCCTCCCCAGCCGCTAAATTTGTTGGAAAACCCATTGACAAATAAAATTTGGTCCTTTGTCATGGCTGACACCCCACCAAAATTTGTAAGGTATGGCAGTCTGAAATAATAAAGGTTTATGATTTTATTATTATTGAATGTTTTGTATGGATATCAATTGCGTGAAAAATGAAAAAAAAAATATACAGTTAAATATATTAAAATACAAGCACTTGATCGAATGTCAACATGAACATAAGTATTTTTTTCTTTTTAATTTTAAATAGGACGTTGTTTTATCCTTACCGGTAGTTGAATTTGTCCACGGCTACAGACATATGTCGCGGCAGTTCAGAACATCGATAAAGGTTGTGATCGTGTTCTGGGAGGAGATCGACGTCGTGTAAAAAGTAACAGTCAAAGTCTGCCTCCTTGCTGGCCTCCAGGAACCCAACATTTAACAGAACACCTCTGTTAAACCTAATTTCTTTATCCTGGAGAAAGATTTCTATAATTAAAATTCACATTTCGAAGCAAACTTTAAACATACATTAAAAAATATGATTTTTCTATAGCTGACACCTAACGGACTTCCTCTACTAAAAATGTTGAAGAGGGACCATCACCGGTTTTCTTGATACATTAATTTTCAAATTCATATGCATATCTTTTGATTATGTTATCACTTCTGACAAAATCAACAAAGAAGAATATTCACTTCTTTTAAATAATCAATTTTAGAGTATTGCATTAGCAATTTATACAAATCCCCAAGGGGCAAATGTTATATTGATACCAATAGAAATTTAAAATAACATAATTCGGCCAAAATTCGATGAAGTGAATCAAAATGCTAACTTGATCAAAATAAATTCGTACCCAAAATCAACTCAGTATCTGCAAGCATTTAAAAATTGCCGAAAAGTATTGATAGCTAAAAAGGCTGTAATTCCGTGAAAAGAACATTGCTTTGTAACGAAATGCAAACTAGATCTAAAACTGATCAATATACATGTACTTATACCAAAAATTAACTTAATATATGCAAACATTTAGAGGAAAAAATCTAACAGTGAATGGAACAAACAGAGACAGGAGGAGGGACAGAGAGACAGACAGACAGGCAGACACCTAGACAGATAGACAAACAGACAGGCAGACGAATGGAATACCTATAGTCCCGGTTTCTTTGTAGTTTAGGGGATTTAAAACATTGTACAGAATTGCTTTTTGTTGTAGACGATTGTAAAAGTATTTTCCATTTTAACCACAATAAAGTCAAAGTACAATGTAAGTTTAAATGCAATAATTTCCATTTATTCCTTGGTTGTTTGAGTATCATGCGTGACCCGTCAATAGAAAGTAATTTAATTCTTACCAAATCAATGATATAGATTTTATATTCCAGTTGCTGCCTCATCAGAAATGGATGCATATGGTTTATAAATATTTTCAAATGTTCTTGTCTGTCCCTGAAAGGAACTAGTAGCGCCGCCTTCTGGCGTGCTTCGCAGTTCGAGGGACGAAATTGCCCCCCACACTGAGCATATCTGTATTTCTGTAATGTCTCCACTAAGTGAATTTCATCGTCCATAACAGGTTTTCTATAGCCAACTGAAAAATATTTGATTGCTAATTAAATATCAATATTTTTAGCAATGGTTCACCATATTAATATTTTGAAAGTTAATGATATAAAAGATTTCAAAGTTCGAGCTTTGATGCAGATACATGTACTATGCACTTTAATAACGCTAAGTGGAGATTTGTAGCTACATTTTATTGACTTTTAACGAGGCCGAGTCTAATTCGAGTGCGCATGCCTTTGCACAGCCCATTTCATTTCATGCAGTCATTTGTACGACAGTGCACCTTCGCCAAATATTTTGATTTTAATGAAAAATTAACATTATCTATAACCCCTTCTAGATTGAAAATGTGATTTTACGAAAATAATTAGGAAAAAACTCCGAAATGGCTCTAACGACGTTACCATTTTCGGATTTTGTGAGCAATGCATTACGCTGAATAATGACACATGACTTGCTGGTAAGGTCAAACCGTTCATGGAAATTATACTAAAAAGATTGTAAATTTATTTATAGTTGATATTGATTAATTTTTTAAAAACTGGATAGCCAGTGGGATTTTACATGTTAAAGATTTATTTGACAATGATGGTAAATTCAATTCATTGTTAGATTTTTTAAAATTGTATAAAAACAAGTCAAACTAATTGTGGGAATTTAAAATTCTTACTTCTGTTTTCAAACATTTACTACTAAAGTATGATTTTTCAAATTGTAAGTTTGTTAACATACGATACAGAAACTATTTTCTCTTCTACACAGGATATGTTAATGTCATAGATCAAAGATGTAACTTTTTCTATGAGAATCTTGTACATAGAAAATTTTGTAGACCATGTTATCAAACAGTTTTAAGCAAAAAATTCAGCGTTGAAGCCTCAGAATGGAAAAATATTTATCAATGTAATTTATATGACATACCCGATAAACAACTTACAGAATTCAACTTTAACCTTTTTAACAATATTCTTTGTAATCATTTCTATCTCACTAAATGGAAAAGAGAAACGAGTAGTCATTGCAAATTATGCCACGTGAACGAAACTTCAAAACATCTCATTTTTGAACGTAGAAATGTTATTGAAATATGGAACAGATTACGTTTGTACCTGAAAATAGATATCAAACAGATACATGTAAAATTGGATTTAGCTCTGAGCGCAATAGAAAAAAAAAATTACTCAACGCTCTCATCTCTTATGTTGCCTATAGAAATTACAAATATAAGATTTACTGTCAACTAAATTCCTTAGATGAAACTAGTTATGACATTTTCAATCACGTTGAATCTTCATTTATTTCTATGCTTCCATTATGAAAAAATTAAACTCTATTGACTACAAACTTTTCAAAACTTGTGCATAAAATATTTCTGTATCAATTGTCTTGAGATAATACTGTCATATTGTTTGTAATTTAATTTGCCTGTTATATATATATATATATATATATATATATATATATATATATATATATATATATATATATATATATATATATATATATATATATATATATATATATATATATTTGCTTAAAAAAAATAAGTATTTAGTTTCTATAGATCAACCTAGATGGTGAGCTTTTTGGAAATTTCACAACTTGGTGACTTTTAAAATTAACTATCATCTACTTGAATATCTCTTGGGAAAAAATAAAAAAAATATGGAAGGAATGTGATAATTTTGCTTTTTTACAAAAAAAACCCCATAGGATCCAATTGTAAATTTTCCTAAGAAATCGCGGTGGTAAACATTAGATTTTTTAAATCTTAAACAATTAATATAAAAGTAAAAGTAAATTATTTTAAAAATTATCAAAATCCCTAGGGCAGAAATAATTCTGTCGCTAATACATGTATAACACAAGAAATCATACTTTAAAATAATTTTGGTATATCTCAGATATAACAGGACATTTTGGTTTTGGTGCCGGCTCTGACGTATCCCTGATTAAACCTGAAGATATAAATATAATTTCATAAATATATTGTCCGGTATCTTCCTTACACTTATAGCAGATTATCACGTCAATTCTTTCCTTAAACTTATAGCAAATCATCGTGTCAATTCTGTCCTTAAACTTATATCAGATCATCATGTCAATTCTGTCCTTAAACTTACAGCAGATCATCGTGTCAATTCTGTCCTTAAACTTGTATATATATATCACTGTTTGTTGGTATTAAAAAGTGAAAATAAAATATATATTTGCTTAAAAAAAATAAGTATTTAGTTTCTATAGATCAACCTAGATGGTGAGCTTTTTGGAAATTTCACAACTTGGTGACTTTTAAAATTAACTATCATCTACTTGAATGAAAAAGAAATCTCTTGGGAAAAAATAAAAAAAATATGGAAGGAATGTGATAATTTTGCTTTTTTACAAAAAAAACCCCATAGGATCCAATTGTAAATTTTGACAGCTTTTGAGATGACCCCTTAAGAAATCGCGGTGGTAAACATTAGATTTTTTAAATCTTAAAACAATTAATATAAAAGTAAAAGTAAATTATTTTAAAAATTATCAAAATCCCTAGGGCAGAAATAATAAAACTCGGCCTCGCTAATACATGTATAACACAAGAAATCATACTTTAAAATAATTTTGATAAGAAGAAACTATACAAAAAACTTCTCTACTTAGATACGGTGAAATAACAGGACATTTTGGTTTTGGTGCCGGCTCTGACGTATCCCTGATTAAACCTGAAGATATAAATATAATTTCATAAATATATTGTCCAGATCATCATGTCAATTCTTCCTTAAACTTATAGCAGATTTCATCACGTCAATTCTTTCCTTAAACTTATAGCAAATCATCGTGTCAATTCTGTCCTTAAACTTATATCAGATCATCATGTCAATTCTGTCCTTAAACTTACAGCAGATCATCGTGTCAATTCTGTCCTTAAACTTATATCAGATCATAATGTCAATTCTATCCTTAAACTTTTATCAGATCATCGTGTCAATTCTGTCCTTACACTTATAGCAGATCATCGTGTCAGTTCTGTCCTTAAACTTATAGCAGATCATCGTGTCAATTCTGTCCTTAAACTTATATCAGATCATCGTGTCAATTCTATCCTTAACCTTATAGCAGATCATCATGTCAATTCTCTCCTTAAACTTATAACAGATCATCGTGTCAATTCTATCCTTAAACTTATAGCAGATCATCTTGTCAATTCTGTCCTTAAACTTATAACAGATCATGGTGTCAATTCTGTCCTTAAACTTATATCAGATCATCATGTCAATTCTGTCCTTAAACTTAAATCAGATCATCGTATCAATTCTGTCCTTAAACTTATAGCAGATCATCATGTCAATTCTGTCCTTAAACTTACAGCAGATCATCATGTCAATTCTCTCCTTAAGCTTAAAACAGATCATCATGTCAATTCTGTCCTTAAACTTATAACAGATCATGGTGTCAATTCTGTCCTTAAACTTATATCAGATCATAATGTCAATTCTATCCTTAAACTTATATCAGATCATCGTGTCAATTCTGCCCTTAAACTTATAGCAGATCATCGTGTCAATTCTGTCCTTAAACTTATATCAGATCATCGTGTCAATTCTCTCCTTAACCTTATAGCAGATCATCATGTCAATTCTCTCCTTAAACTTATAGCAGATCATGGTGTCAATTCTGTCCTTAAACTTATAAGAGATCATCGTGTCAATTCTGTCCTTAAAGTTATATCAGATCATCGTGTCAATTCTCTCCTTAAACTTTTATCAGATCATCATGTCAATTCTGTCCTTAAACTTATATCAGATCATCGTGTCAATTCTGTCCTTAAACTTATAGCAGATCATCATGTCAATTCTGTCCTTAAACTTACAGCAGATCATCATGTCAATTCTGTCCTTAAACTTATAGCAGATCATCGTGTCAATTCTGTCCTTAAACTTATAACAGATCATCGTGTCAATTCTCTCCTTAAACTTATAGCAGATTCTCATGTCCATTCTGTCCTTAAACTTATATCAGATCATCATGTCAATTCTGTCCTTAAACTTATAGCACATCATCATGTCAATTCTCTCCTTAAACTTATATCAGATCATCACGTCAATTCTGTCCTTAAACTTATAACAGATCATCATGTCAATTCTGTCCTTAAACTTATAACAGATCATCGTGTCAATTCTGTCCTTAACCTTATAGCAGATCATCGTGTCAATTCTGTCCTTAAACTTATATCAGATCATCACGTCAATTCTGTCCTTAAACTTATAGCAGATCATCATGTCAATTCTGTCCTTAAACTTACAGCAGATCATCATGTCAATTCTGTCCTTAAACTTATAGCAGATCATCGTGTCAATTCTGTCCTTAAACTTATAACAGATCATCGTGTCAATTCTCTCCTTAAACTTATAGCAGATTCTCATGTCCATTCTGTCCTTAAACTTATATCAGATCATCATGTCAATTCTCTCCTTAAACTTATAGCACATCATCATGTCAATTCTCTCCTTAAACTTATATCAGATCATCACGTCAATTCTGTCCTTAAACTTATAACAGATCATCATGTCAATTCTGTCCTTAAACTTATAACAGATCATCGTGTCAATTCTGTCCTTAACCTTATAGCAGATCATCTTGTCAATTATGTCCTTAAACTTATAACAGATCATCACGTCAATTCTGTCCTTAAACTTATAACAGATAATCATGTCAATTCTGTCCTTAACCTTATAGCAGATCATCGTGTCAATTCTGTCCTTAAACTTATATCAGATCATCACGTCAATTCTGTCCTTAAACTTATAACAGATCATCGTGTCAATTCTGTCCTTAACCTTATAGCAGATCATCTTGTCAATTCTGTCCTTAAACTTATAACAGATCATCACGTCAATTCTGTCCTTAAACTTATAACAGATCATCGTGTCAATTCTGTCCTTAACCTTATAGCAGATCATCTTGTCAATTCTGTCCTTAAACTTATAACAGATCATCATGTCAATTCTGTCCTTAAACTTATAACAAATCATCGTGTCAATTCTCTCCTTAAACTTATAGCAGATCATCATGTCAATTCTGTCCTTAAACTTACAGCAGATCATCGTGTCAATTCTGTCCTTAAACTTATAACAGATCATCGTGTCAATTCTGTCCTTAAACTTATAGCAGATCATCACGTCAATTCTGTCCTTAAACTTATAGCTGATCATCGTGTCAATTCTGTCCTTAAACTTATAGCAGATCATCACGTCAATTCTGTCCTTAAACTTATAGCTGATCATCGTGTCAATTCTGTCCTTAAACTTATAGCAAATCATCGTGTCAATTCTCTCCTTAATATAAACTTATAGCTGATCATCGTGTCAATTCTTTCATTTTAATGAAGTCGAGAACACAGTGCGATCATGTCTAAAACGTTATCTTTATAACGAAAGTGTGTGGAAATAATTGTTAGGAGAAATGTTCGTCGGGTTTTATTCGAAAACGTAACTTCTAAAATGAAAAAAAATTGAAACATTTCGAAAGGTTGTTTTCTTGTTTTAAATTGTGTGTAAATATCAATAAAGAACATCAGGCATACTCACAATTCTCCAACGTACTATCAAAATGCTCTTCGTTGACTTTCTGATATTTTGACAACTGAACATACACGTAGTTTTTAAAGCTCCCTTGGTAAATGAAAATACCAATAATAAAGAATTGGATAACGAAAAGCAATGACCATAACATGGCTGTCATTCGACGACATGGTTTCCAGAATATGGCTTTTCTTGTTACTGTTAATGAGGTCTCTTGACGTTGATTCATCTCCGAAATTTGAATATAGTGGTACTTCAGTGTAAGATTCAGAAAAATCTTCAACAATATCTGAAATTTTATCAAATATGTCCATTTTTTAAATAAACAAGATGTGTTTGTAAAACACTGATGCCCCCCTATGGCAACATAGCAAATATTAAGTTTTTCTTAAATGCAAATTTAATTAATTGGTACTAAAAGTAGGCTATTCTCACTGGAAAACAAATGTGAAATTTGATAGTAAGCTAGTGTCAAAGTTTTTTAATAAGTACAAAAATCTCCAAGGTCAGGGTCAAAAGGTCAATGTAATTAGTATCAAATGAAAGGTCTTGCAACATAAAATACTTATGTAGAGCATGAAAGCCCTAGCCCTGACCGTTCAGAAGTTATGGTCAACGTTCAATTTCTTAAAAAGTAGGTCAAGCTCCAAGGTCAAGGTCAAGGGGTCAAACTTATTGTTATCAAATGAAAGGCCTTGTCATAAGGATCAAATATGTGAAGTATGAAAGCACTAGCCCTAACTCTTTAAAAGTTATGGTCAAGGTATGCTTTTTTAAAGTAGGTCAATCTCAAAGGTCAAGGTCACACGGTCAAAGTTCTTGGTATCTAATGAAGGGTCTTCTCACAAGAATTACATATATGAAGTATTAAAGCCCTATCCCTTACCGTTCAAAAGTTATGGGTAAGGTGAAAGTTTTTTTTTACAAATATGGAAATCTACAAGGTCAAGGTCAAAGGGTCAAGGTTGTTGGTATCCAGTGAAAGGTCTTTAAACAAACATTTCATTTTTGAAGTATAAATGTCCTAGTGTCTACCGTTCAAAAGATATGGCCGAAGTAAAATTTTAAAATTTTCATGTAAAAGTGGGTCAAACTCCAAGGTCAAGGTCAAAAGGTCAAATTTGGTGGTACCCAAACAAAGGTCACTGGAAAACAAATGTGAAATTTGATAGTAAGCTAGTGTCAAAGTTTTTTAATAAGTACAAAAATCTCCAAGGTCAAGGTCAAAAGGTCAATGTAATTAGTATCAAATGAAAGGTCTTGCAACATAAAATACTTATGTAGAGCACGAAAGCCCTAGCCCTGACCGTTCAGAAGTTATGGTCAACGTTCAATTTCTTAAAAAGTAGGTCAAGCTCCAAGGTCAAGGTCAAGGGGTCAAACTTATTGTTATCAAATGAAAGGCCTTGTCATAAGGATCAAATATGTGAAGTATGAAAGCACTAGCCCTAACTCTTTAAAAGTTATGGTCAAGGTATGCTTTTTTAAAGTAGGTCAATCTCAAAGGTCAAGGTCACACGGTCAAAGTTCTTGGTATCTAATGAAGGGTCTTCTCACAAGAATTACATATATGAAGTATTAAAGCCCTATCCCTTACCGTTCAAAAGTTATGGGTAAGGTGAAAGTTTTTTTTACAAATATGGAAATCTACAAGGTCAAGGTCAAAGGGTCAAGGTTGTTGGTATCCAGTGAAAGGTCTTTAAACAAACATTTCATTTTTGAAGTATAAATGTCCTAGTGTCTACCGTTCAAAAGATATGGCCGAAGTAAAATTTTAAAATTTTCATGTAAAAGTGGGTCAAACTCCAAGGTCAAGGTCAAAAGGTCAAATTTGGTGGTACCCAAACAAAGGTCTTGTCACAAGAAATACACATGTGAAATATAAAAGTCATAGCTCTACTAAATCAAAAGTTATGGGTAAGGTTAAAGTTTTTGCGGACAAACAGACACACATAGAGACAGACAGACAGAGAGACAGACAGACAGACAGACAGACGGACACGACAAAAACTATATGCCCCCGAAACTTCGTTTACGGGGGCATAAAAAAAAGAATCCAAAAATCAAAAACATTTTTTTTAAATTATGACCTGCTGTTATCGATCAACCTTGACCCAACATTATGTAAATTGAATTTTATAAGAACTTGGATGTAGTTCTACAAATTGTAATCCTACTTATACTTATACTTCCCATTCTAAGGAGGAAATTCCTCAAAATCACATGTCAGTTTTGAATATTTTTAATATTCCACAGAGCCAAAATGAATTTGAACTACCCTATATATATTGGATTTGGAAACTTCATAAAAATCCTTATAAACAAGGATACATTGCAGGTTCAAGTAAATGTTCAACAAAGCTTCTTTCGTTACTTTTCATTAAGATATTGACAGATGTGAAGGGAAAACTTCAAGAGTACTGTGCGACAATATATCAAAGAAGTAGTGTGAATCAGTTTTGGATACTCCAAAAATTTTAAAGAGTTTTAGGACAATTTGAAATCACAAGAAGTTACTAATATCAACAGCTTAAAGACGTACGACTTTTCAACTTTATACACAACCATTCCCCACGATAAATTAAAGTCCAGGATCCGGTTGTATCAATATTTAATGAGTGATTAAAGCTTCATTAAACTGATTGTTTTCAATGTATCATTAAATGCCGTTGTATTAATGTTTTAATGAACGGATCCAGGGACGTAGCAACCGGGGGGACCTAACCCCCCTTTTTTCCCCAACATTACCTTAACTATAGTTAATGTTTACTGAAAGGATGGTTGGCCCCCCACTTTTTACCATAGTATAGTGATATCAAGGATTGTACGGGAAAAATTGGAAAAATGATAGTAAGTTGGCTTCGAAAAAGTTGGTCACTACCCCCTCCCCCAACCCACCCCCCACGAAATAGGATTTTCGAAACAGGAACGCTTCAACTCGGCCCATTCGAAGACCAGGGTGACCACTGAGCGTGCATTTGGTTGGTGGAAGAGGCGACTTCACGTCCTCCATGCAGAAATACGGATGAGACCGGAGAGGGTCTGCACAGTCATTGGTAAATGAACATAACAAGGCTTGAACAGATGTCTTTATTTGAAAAGCTGAGTGACATGTTTATTTAGCATTCGCAAGTCATGCACGTAGCAACAAGGTGCGAAAAAGTTGACAAGCAAAAAAAAACCAATACTATTCATTGGAAATATTCATTGAAAGACTGGTTGCCCCCCCCCCCCCCCACACCCTTGATACTACAGGAAACTGATATCAGGGAAATGTAGTACTGAATACAAAACAAGAGGCCCAGGGGCCACAGCGCTCACCTGAGCACACAGGCTAGGAAAAAGCAATTATTCTCAGATCATCAGAAATGAAAGTTTACTGAGTTATGAGGGGGGGGGGGTTAAATCTTAACTCCCCAGGGGGTCATGATTTGAAAAAACTAGAATCTACACTACCTGAGGATGATTTAATATAAATATCACTAATTATGGCTTCAGGGCTCCCACTGGACTGAAAATGGCTTTGAAATACTTGAGAAGAAGATTTTAAAAGATTTCCTAAATATTCTTATGAAAAACTTTGATCGACCATTTTGGCCCCAACCTTCCCCCGGGGGTCATGATTTGAACAAACTTGAATCTACACTACCTGAGATGATTCCACATTAGTTTCATCTTTTCTGGCCCAGTGGTTCTTGAGAAGAAGATTTTTAAACTTTGATCGGCCATTTTGGCCCCACCCTACCCCCGGGGGTCATGATTTGAACAAACTAGAATCTACACTACCTGAGGATGATTTCATATAAATATCACTAATTATGGCTTTGAAGTACTTGAGAAGGAGATTTCAAAAGATTTCCCTATAAATTCTTATGAAAAACTTTAATCGACCATTTTGGCCCCTACCTTCCCCCGGGGGTCTAAGTCATGATTTGAACAAACTTGAATCTACACTACCTGAGATGATTCCACATTAGTTTTATCTTTCCTGTCCTAATGGTTCTTGAGAAGAAGATTTTTAAAGATTTTTCCTATACATTCCCATGTAAAACTTTGATCAGCCATTTTGGCCCCACCCTACCCCCGGGGGTCATGATTTGAATAAATATAAATCTACACTACCTCAGGATGATTCCACTTGAGTTTCATGTTTCCTGGCACAGTGGTTCTTGAGAAAAAGATTTTTGAAGATTTTTTCCTATATATTCCTATGTAAAACTTTGATCGGCCATTTTGGCCCCACCCTATCCCCAGGGGTCAAGATTTGACCAAACTTGAATCTACACTAACTGAGGATGATTTCACATGAGTTTTTATCTTTCCTGTCTCAATGGTTCTTGAGAAGAAGATTTTTAAAGATTTTTCCTATATATTCCTATGTAAAACTTTGATCAGCCATTTTGTCCCCACCCTAGCCCCGGGGGTCATGATTTGAACAAACTTGAATCTATACTACGTGAGGATGATTTCACATGAGTTTCAACCTTTCTTTCTCAATGAATCTTGAGAAGAAGATTTTAAAGATATTCCCTATATATTCCTATGTAAAACTTTGATCGGCCATTTTGGCCCCACCCTACCCCCGGGGGTCATGATTTGAACAAACTTGAATCTACACTACCTGAAGATGATTCCACATGAGTTTCATCTTTCCTGGCCCAGTGGTTCTTGAGAAAAAGATTTTTTTTAAATGCCATTAATTTTTCTCTAATTCATAATTATCTCCCCTTGGAAAACGGCGTGGCCCTTCATTTGAACAAACTTGAATCCCCTTCACCCAAGGATACTCTGTGCCAAGTTTGGTTGAAATTGGCCCAGTGGTTCTTCAGAAGAAGATGAAAATGTGAAAAGTTTATAACAACGACAACGACGACGACGACTACGACAACAACGACAGACAACGGACAAATTTTGATCAGAAAAGCTCACAGAGCCTTCGGCTCAGGTGAGCTAAAAAAATGGTACTGAAAGAAGTTGGCATTGAAAAAAAGTTGGCCTCTAACACCCCCCCCCCCACCCCCACCCCGGGCAGTTTTCCTTTTTTTTTTTTTTTGCTTTTCAACTTTTTTAAGGAAGTAAAAAAAAATTTCTCTGGCTGCTCCCCCCCCCCCACTTTAAAAAACGATGCTACGTGGCTGTAAGTAATAATATTTGCATTATTTAGGTACTAGCCGGGTTAGAATATGCATACATATTTTAATTTCAGGAGCATGTGCTGTACTTCACAAT